TTACCATGGTTTTTATGTATGTTTAATATGTATTATGATGTTTCATGGATTGATAACATGACTGTGAGTATGTATGGTAAATGTTGTGAAAGAAATTTCAATGAAAAGTTTCTTGTGGTGATTTCAGTAGTATATATATTGATATATGAATTTCGTATTGAGAGTTATCTTGTAGCTTTAATAGCCATTTAATCTCAAGTAGAGAATAACGAGGTATGTGGAGGAGAGGAGTAAGATGTCCTAGTCTAATAGCTTTACCTTGGTTAAAGATGTTAACGGATGAACCTTGTCTTTGGTAGGATGAAACTTATTGACAATGACTTTACAGAGAGACTACCACAAGTGCATAACTCACTAGAGTCTGATATCAATACATGTATCCGCATAGTTGAGTCTAGTATGAATAAATGCATGTGCTAAGATTTGTTGATAGGAATGTTTATGTGTTAATATCTCTATACATGTTGTATGATTGATTTTTTTGATACATTAATTTACCTTTTCTTTTGGGTTTGTTTGTTTATTCTTTTGTTTGTCATGATCACTTAAATGGTCTAACCAGATGAAGACGTCTTAGTTAACCCAGCGTAGGGTGTAGATAATACAACAACATAGTTTAGAATAAAATTCGATTTTGTNTGTTGATATTTGGCATAGTGTTGAGCACAAGTTCATTATGCAGGTTTAGGAGATTTCAGTTTCAAAACGTTGAGCATGAGAAAATGCGGATGTTTTGGCATTGAGCGGTGGAGGGAACCACTGAGCGTCATTTTAATTGCATGATTGGAACAATTTTAATTCCACGTCCCTAAGCAAAAGACAAGTGTCGTTGAGCACGATAATATGCGAAAGAATGTTGTTGAGTGTTAGGATTGTTGTTGAGCACTACCTCTTGCAAAACTTTTAACGATGAGCATTAAGATTGTTGTTGAGCGTCATCTTTTTTGAAAGGTTTAACGTTAGACGTCACTTTTGAGTGTTAAGGTGTATGTTAGAATTTTTTATGCTTTGATTTGTTTGAGATGGATTTACCATGGTTTTTATGTATGTTTAATATGTATTATGATGTTTCATGGATTGATAACATGACTGTGAGTATGTATGATAAATGTTGTGAAAGAAATTTCAATGAAAAGTTTCTTGTGGTGATTTCAGTAGTATATATATTGATATATGAATTTAGTATTGAGAGTTATCTTGTAGCTTTAATAGCCATTTAATCTCAAGTAGAGAATAACGAGGTATGTGGAGGAGAGGAGTAAGATGTCCTAGTCTAATAGCTTTACCTTGGTTAAAGATGTTAACGGATGAACCTTGTCTTTGGTAGGATGAAACTTATTGACAATGACTTTACAGAGAGACTACCACAAGTGCATAACTCACTAGAGTCTGATATCAATACATGTATCCGCATAGTTGAGTCTAGTATGAATAAATGCATGTGCTAAGATTTGTTGATAGGAATGTTTATGTGTTAATATCTCTATACATGTTGTATGATTGATTTTTTTGATACATTAATTTACCTTTTCTTTTGGGTTTGTTTGTTTATTCTTTTGTTTGTCATGATCACTTAAATGGTCTAACCAGATGAAGACGTCTTAGTTAACCCAGCATAAGGTGTAGATAATACAACAACATAGTTTAGAATAAAATTCGATTTTGTATAATTTTTTTACAAACTTTATTTATGTCACTGTAAATATGTGACTATCTATATTCATTACATCTTTTATGAATGACGGTAACATGGTAGTCATATGATAGTCTATTTTACTTGTTGATTATCACATTTATAATGTTTTATTTAATAATTTTACATTATTAAATAAAATATTACATTATTGAGATTAGAAATCTAACAAAAATATAAAAAAAAAGTTTAGTAAAAAATTATAAAAAGATGGTGGTTTTAATTTACAGAAAATTTATTTATAGTTTCAATTTTTTATTATTACAATACTCTAGTTTCATATTTTAAAAATAACCACCATTCTTATACCATTTCTTAGGTTTTCACAACCTATATCTATAATATCTATATAAACATATTAGACTTAAAAAAGACTAAGATTTGTAGCTAAAAACTTTTTAAAATGCATAAAGTTGGTGTTTGTGAAATGTTTTTATTACTGACCCTAAGTTTTATGTCTTAAAATAAATATTGTCAAGACTTGATAAATTTAATTATTCTGGTTGTCATACATGTTTAAGAACTCTCGGCGTTTTTGTATTCACCCTATTCATAAATGTTTTTTTTAAGAAAATGATAGCATAAAAAATAAACAATACATTTTGAACAAATAAGTATAATAAATATCAATACGGATTATATATTAACAATTTGTAAAAAAGTAATCATTTTGAAAAATATTATTTTGTTGTTCCATAAGTTTATTTATTGGATTAATATAAGAATTTTATATTGAAAATGACTAGTTAATAAGTACCATATATTTCAACTTATTCTTCAATGGCATAAACAAGGCAATACCACAGGGCTATTTTTGAGTTAGATTTAGAAAAAAAAAACTTAATACCTATTTTTATTTCTCATTGTAACATTGGTTTAAAATGATCCTATCTTTTTTAAAAATTTAAAATGATTTCATATTGTGTAAGCACGATTCAAATTAGTCTTTTTTTTTTGTTGACGGTGTTAAAAACTTCAACGGTGTAGTGTCCCTATGGCCAAAACTGAATGAGTTGTACATCTTTCGATTGGGTGACACTGGGGTCAATTGAGATGTAAATTTTACAAATAAAAATTAATGACTTGAAAATTTGACATTGAAAAATCTGTTAGAAATTGGTCTTCCTCCTATCTCCTCCTTCTCCCTTTTCAATTATTTCTTCCTTCCCCAATGCAGAAAGAATTTGTTGAAGATCTCCATCTAAAATCTCAATACAGCAAATATTAATCAAAAAAAGAGTTTTCAATGTCACCACAACACCCCCAACCAACGCCTTCCCTACCGCAACTTGGGCAACCACCATCACCGTCTTCAGTCCAAGAACAAAAACGAACAAGAAAAAAAACCAAAACCCAAATTAGTAGTATTCATCCTCCAAGCGAAAATTCAGAATCCTAATTCAAACCCTAGCCTCAAATTCATCCTCCAAGCGAAAAATCAAGAACGCAAAAGTAGGAACCCCAAAAATCCAATTCAACAACCTACAAACTACAAATCCCAAATTCGAAAATTGAGAAAGCTAAGAAAAGAAAATCCCAAATTGCAAAATAATGAACACCATAACCCAACACGCGAGATTAACCGAAGAAAAGAAAACCCAATTCGCAAACAAAGAAAAGAACTCCAAAACGCGAAATCTACTCTGATTCTAAACCTTAATATGAAATTCCTAAAATTTGTAAGATCTGAAACACAATGAAGAAGTGTCAGCTCATTTGACCTCACGTCATTAAGTTTTATTTTTAAAATTGACACCTCATTTGGACAACTGTACTGTTAGAATTTTTAACATCAGAAGTAAAAAAGACCAACTTGAACCACTTTTATACAATATGAAACAATTTTAAACTTTTTAAAAAAGGTAAGATCAATTTGATTATACATTACCAGTTGAGGAACCAAAATAGATATTAAAAAAAACTAACAAAAAACAAATACAGTCAATTAATAATTATAATTTGTATTGATTTTATATTTTTAAATAAAATCTTATAATTTATGTTGTTTTTTGTAATTTTAATTGTTTTGAAATTTATTTTTTACTTGTTCAACTTACTTTTGATAAGAGGTAATAAGTTAATAAACATTTTACCCCTTTTTCACTTTTTTTTTTCAATATTTAACATTTTATAATTTAAGCACAAGAACAAAATAATTAAATAATAACTAATTTATACATAAAAAAAAGCAACCATTATATTGACTAATTTATAGCTATTTTATAAATTTAAAAAAATATCGATATATAATATAATTTTTATTATTAATGATTTTTTTAAAATCCCAATATTGTCTAACTTTAAATAACAAATTGTTATTGAATTTTAAATTAATAATAGACCTTATGATATAATAATATAATAGTGAGACATGTGCTTATTATTATTTTGGTTTAATACATCATTTGGTTCCTACTTTTATGAGTTTGGTTCAAAATGGTCTCACCTTAACGGGTGCAAACTTTCCGGGAAAACTTCCTAGAAGGTCTAGGCTAAGCCTGGCTTAACCATGGAGTTCTTATGAATTAGGCTACCGAAAAACAAATGCATTTGGTGATATGAGTAGCCAAATCAATCCCTTTAACCTATCCTTCAACATACCTATACAGTCTCTAGATTCCTCTCATTCCGGTGTATGTTCGATTCGTCCATGTGCCATTTCCACTAGAAGCCTGCCATGAGCCGCTCCTTGTCAGTGCCCCTTGTACTTCGTGTCTCTTGCACCGACGATCACTCCCTGCCCTCGTCAGTGCCCGGGTGTCACACACCACGTAAAAAAAAACTAACAAAAAAAACTAATGATAATTTTATAATTCTATAACTTTATAAAATTACAAAATAATATAATTATAATTTTATATAATAATAATAGTAAAATTACAAAATTATAAAATATAAAATTATATAACAATAAAATTATAAAATCATGAAATTACGATACTAGAACAAAATAACTACAACATCTTTAGAAACCAATCAACAGAGAAATTAAATATTACTTAATAATATAAATTTTTAAATGCTCAATATATTATAAAATTCAATAATATGCTCAATATATTATAAAATTCAATAATAAAAGCTTTCACATCTATAAAAAACCTTAAAACTTAATTAAATCAAATAAATAAAATGACCAATAAAATAACATCAATAAAAAACTAAATAACATATATTTAATTAAAAACATAAAAAAATTAAATTTTAAATGACAAGAAGACACATAGGCTGTTTGATATATTGGTATTCCCAAATTATCCCTGATATGATAATCATGGTACTGATAAAGACTTGACTAACGCAAGTAACAAGTCTCCCTTGTATCAATCAATATACGTCATTTGCTTCTTCGTACCCTTTCTCTCTATATTTATAACTGTTTAGCCTCACTCTTCCCTATTATTCAGTGAGGTTTTGATTTCTCAGTGTCGCACTCTGTTTTCTCTGTTTATTCAAGTCTAACCGCCAGCCCACAACAATGCCGCCTCTGCCACTAGACGTGATAATCAAAACTCTGCTTGCTTTTCTTTATATCGCCTATATGAATTGAATGACAATCACGGATAGGAATTGTTTTTTCTTCTCAATTGAACTCTATTTGTTTTTTGTTTGGATTGTTCTTTTGCTTAGTTGCTGGATTCTTTTTTTATTCTTGGTTGATGTTTCTGACACTGTTGTTCTTTGGTGACGTGGTGCTGCAGCCGGACGAGGTGCTGCAGCCGGACGAGGTGATGACCGATCCTATTTCAGATGCTCCCGAGATGGAAGGTATAGTTTCAGATGCTCCCGAGGTGGAAGGTGTAGTTTCAGATGCTCCCGAGATGGAAGGTATAAAAAATGACGATGTTTTTAATGATCATGTTGTTGATAACGATGATGATGATGTTGTGTCCACCACGGGTGTGTGCGGAGTGTGGAATGCAGGGGAACTTGTTATTGCTATTTGAATTTTTTTAATTCTGCAAATGTGAATTGTAGTTTGGGGGTTGAAAAGTTAGTAGTACCAGAAGAAGAGGGGTCGTGTTTAAATGATATTTAGATATTTATGTTAATTGCAAAAGAATTTGTAATCAATGTTTCAATTTGGTATATAATTCTGAGTTTTCTTGTGTGTAAACAATGATTCCGTTCTTGTTGAGGCTTGCATTTTGGTAGGAAGTTTAAGAATTGTTTTTGTTATATCGGGCTTGGAATGAAGCTCCACCCAGTTCTAGTGCTACTTGTTCTCTATAACTTTGGAAGTTTGTTCCTACTTTCAAGAATCTCTCCTCTGCATTGCATTGCATGGAGTGTTTGATTGGGTAGTGTGCAATTGGAGCTCTAGATTTTTTGTCATTGGGGTTGTTGTCTTGATTGATTGGGAGGTGAGTAATTTTTTAAACTTTCCAGATTCTTTCTACCATTTTGTTTATATGTGGATCTGCTTGATTGTGGGAGTGGGTAATTAATTCTAAATGTTTGTTCTCTGCATTGTATTGACATGTTTGATTAGTGAAGTGAGCAATTAGCGTCAATATTCTTTCATTTTTGTTGCTTGCTGACCTTCAGATATTCAGGGAATTTTATGTGAAGAAATCAGTAAGGATTTAATTATTTTAATGGTGGCATAGTTGATCAATAATTTGATTTATTTTGTTGTTTTTCTTTAATTGTTCCAACAGAAAGCTGGAGTTCTGCTGAAGCACAAACTATGGATAGTCTGTCATCAGGGAGGTTCACATGGACTATTAAGAATTTTTCAACGCTCACTAAGAAAATATATTCTGAAGTTTTCTATGTTGGAGGTCATAAATGGTGAGTGGAATTTTTGCCTGTGTTCTTTTGTTACTAATGGTAGTTAACTTTGCACGTTGTGAATGGTGGTAGTGACTGACATTATTTGCAATGAGCAGGAAGATACTCTTATTTCCAAAGGGGAATAGTGTTGATCATTTATCACTGTATCTAGATGTTGCTGATTCAATGATGTTGGCTCCTGGATGGAGCAGATTTGCCCAGTTTTGCTTGACTGTTGTTAATCAATTCAATACTCAATACTCTTTCAGAAAAGGTAATTTCTCTGACAGGTGTCTCACAAAAATGTATTCTCTTTATTAAGTGGATTCAAAAATGGAGGAATTGAATTTGCCTCATTTGAGTGTAGATTTGGTGTTTCATATGCCCAAATCTGAAGTTTTGGCATATTCTTTTGTGCACAATGTATTCAATTTAATGGAGACAGAATTCCTGAATACAAGTTATGTTTCTTGTCTGTACAACAATACTTTAGGAAACAAAGGTGGTTCCTAGATGCTGCTAAAACTTAAAATAGTTCTTTGTTATTGTTTTTCTGTATATGTAAATATTCCAAGATCAAGTTATAGTTGAGACCTCAATTCTGATAGGATATAAATTGGGGTTGTTTCTGTTGAGAATTTGAATGATATTCCATGGTTTATTACAAGCTAGATTTTATACCCGTGTGTTGCAAGTGTTCCGTTCTCATGTTATTAATCATTTTGAAGTTTATTAGTCATAATATCAATTAATAATTGATATTTTTCAAATTGTTATATTATATATTTTAAAACTAGAGTACTGATGTCAGGTCATGCACAAATGTGCAATCTTGCAAACTTCACCCGAGATGTCTAGTCCTAGTTATGAGGATTCTGTGTTAAGATCTCACAGTGGCTTGACATGTTGCCTCAATGGTCCCTTTAAAGACTACAGCTTTCTTCTTCTGTTGAGCAGGTTTTCCAAGTTGAATTGGTTCCAATCTGTTTGCAGTTATAATGTCTTTCCCAATAGTCTCTCCTCATGCTTATGTTTAGTCATTGATGTTCTGCTTGTTTCTTTAATGTAGTTTTCTTGTCTGATGGCTGTTTGAATGGTTGTTTTTAAGCTATTTTCTTATCTTTGATTTTGAGTGATACCTTATCTCTTCTGTGATGTATTTCTCTTTTATTGAAGGAAAAGATTGATTTTTTTTTTCATATGGCAGAATCACAGCATCTATTTAATGCCCGTGAGAGTGACTGGGGTTTCACTAATTTCATGCCTCTTGCTGAATTATGTGATCCTAGTCGAGGTTATTGTGTTAATGATACATGCATAGTTGAAGCTGATGTTGCTATTCGTAAGGTTCTTGATTACTGGTCACATGACTCAAAAAAGGAAACTGGTTATGTTGGACTTAAAAACCAAGGAGCTACTTGTTACATGAATTCACTTCTTCAGACACTGTATCACATTCCTTACTTTAGAAAGGTTAGTCAGTAAACTGTTTATTCATACAAAACTAAGCATCTTACATGAACTATTATTATTATTATTATTATTAACAGGCTTTGTACCACATGCCTACAACTGAGCATCATGACATGCCATCAAGGAGCATTCCACTAGCATTGCAGAGCTTATTCTACAAGTTGCAGCATAATTACACTAGTGTATCTACAAAAGAGTTAACCAAGTCATTCGGATGGGATACACATGATTCATTCTTGCAGCATGATGTCCAAGAACTTAATAGAGTTCTTTGTGAAAAGTTAGAAAACAAAATGAAGGTAATCTATTTTTTCTTGGCAACTACTTGCAGCAATATTTGAATTTGTATTTATCTTGTTAAGGAGAGAATTGTATTCAGATTTGTTTCTGGTTCAGGGAACTGTTGTTGAAGGCACCATACAGAAGCTGTTTGAAGGCCACCACATGAACTATATTGATTGCATCAATGTTGACTACAAATCAATGAGAGAAGAATCATTCTATGGTATACAATTTATGAGCTTGCTGTTTATTGCATAAATCCATGTTCTTATATCTTATGGAATTATAACTTTTTTTTTATCCCAGATCTTCAGCTTGATGTCAAAGGATGTAAGAACGTATATGATTCTTTTGACAAATATGTTGAAGTAGAACAGCTTGAAGGTGATAACAAGTATCATGCTGAGTGGCATGGTTTACAGGTAAAATCTAAATACAAGTGCTTTTTTATTTTGGTTGTCAAACTGAATTTCTTACCTTGTTTTTTGTTTAGATCTCGTTGGTTGATTCTTATTTTTTGTATGAGCCTCAACTTTTTTGTTTAACTTTTTCCTTTATTTTCTTGAAGTTTTGCTTTGCAGAAATATAAAATATATTTGTTTTGTTAACAAGGAAATGCAAATGAAAAGTATTTATTTTGAAAGAAACTTCTGGGGTTCTTTAATATATTAAATAAATAAAAAAGGCCGTGGATAACATCACGTAAGGATACATTTAAATTCTACTTGTGTTGTGAGTGAAAGATACACTTAGCGAAGATATGGAGAGCAATAGAAATCTTTTCCAACTTTTACTTGTACGGTTTGGCTTGACTTTTACGGAGGTGATACTCTGTACATCTAAGCTTTTCATGATGGCATAATGGAAGGAACCTGCGGAATTATTTTTTCTTTCCTGTGCTTTGTTGTAAAGCTATTTCTTTTATATTGTTAAGTTTGGTATTTTTCTTCATTATTGTTACGTTCAATCATCCAGGAGGCTAGGAAGGGTGTTTTGTTCGTTGATTTTCCTCCTGTTCTTCAGCTGCAACTAAAACGGTTTGAATATGATTTTATGCGAGATTCCATGGTAAAGGTCAGCAATAAATAGAATCATATTGAATTCTTTCGGTTTTTTTTATATATTTGTATGTTTCAATGTAATTTTTTACTTGTCTGCATTGAATAGAATTAGAACGAATTCTTTTCATTTTTTTGATGTATTTGTATGTTTCAATGTAATTTTTACCTGTCATAGCTTCGAGGGAGATTTAAAATCATGTGTTATATAGAAACATAGAGACATTGCCCCTCAATACATTGTTCTCTTTATGCAAGATCTCAATAAAAGAAATTATTTTGATACTAAGCTTAATTAAGTTTTAAGTACCAAATAAATTTGAGTATTTTAATTTGAGTCCCTATTAAAAAATTTTATTCATAAACAAGTTGATTGACTAGTTGGAGGAGATTGGAGAGAAAAGGTGCAAGTTGAGCGAGTTGGAGATGGGAAGATGGAAGTAATTACCAGGTGATCCTCGTTCGTTGACAGCAAAATCAAACTGCAGGGTTGTTGGATGAAAATAAAAAATATTTTGAGCACTCAATAGAAAATAAATTTTTAACAGGGACTCAATTAAAAATATCCAAATTTCCAAAATAGTTAAAACTTGATTAAGTCTTGATAGACTTAATTCCCAGACAATAGGAACTGTTTCGGATGTGTAGGGCTGTGGGGTTCCAAGTCTTCCAAGTCCTCCTATAATCTTGTCTCCTTGGCCGATCCTCTCCTGGCGCTCTGGCTCTCCTCTTGATCCGGAGGGGTGGAGACCTACAAAAGATTCTCCGATGCCAAAGTCAGTTCAGAGCAGTGGCTATTTTTAGTAGTAGCAATAAATGTGCATTCAATGTAACCTATCTACCACTCACCGTGGACCTGTATTTATAGTTTTCGCTATGGGCTTGGGATTAGTGAAAAGTTAATCACGGCCCAAAACGGCCCGATAGCTTCTAATTTCTACTTACCTTTAAACCAGGCTACTTTTCCTTAAGTCATGTTGATTAGTGTTTTGGCGGGCGTGGACGTCCGCCCATGTGAAATGGGCGTCTGCCTCGCGCGCACGGAGATCCGCCCATGTGGGTCCGCCCATGCGGGCTCTTTGGTACGGCGTCCAGTTTCGCTTGGCCGTGTCCGCGAAGATCCGCCCATGCGGGATCCGCCCATGTGGGGTCCGCCCATGCGGGGTCCGCCCATGTGGGATCCGCCCATGTGGGCTCTTCCGTACGGCGTCCGGTTTCGCTCGTCGTGTCCGCCCGTATGATATGGGCGTCCGCCTCGTCCGCATGGAGATCCGCCCAATTAGCTTGGGCGTCCGCCCGCATGGGTCCTTCCGTACGGCGTTCGGCCCTTGCAGATACACAAGCCCCCCAAGTCCTAGTGCACGTAGTGAACGTAGGACTTTAGGTCGCCTAACAGACAAGATTTGACGCAGTGGCTGTTGTGCCGGGCTGCTCTGTGATGGTAGGATTCCTTGTGAGTTCTTCAAAGTTTTTCTTATAAAGAGGTTCGGCCCGGTTGGTAGGTGTTCCTCCCTGCTACATGAAGGTTAGGAGAGTTTATACCGGGTCTAGGTTCAATCTTGGGCCGGCTCTTCGGCGCATGAGCCTCCGGCGTGCCTTTTACGATTGCGCACAGGCATTGTCGTAAGTACGGCGCCTGGCACTTCGGCGCCCCTCGTACGGCGCCCGGCATTGCGGGCGTCTCGATACTTCGGGCGTCCGGCTCTTCAACGCATGAGCCTCCGGCGTGCCTTTTACGATTGCGTACAGGCATTGTCGTAAGTACGGCGCCTGGCACTTCGGCGCCCCTCGTACGGCGCCCGGCATTGCGGGCGTCTCGATACTTCGGGCGTCGTTCGTACGGCGCCTGGCACTTCGGCGCCCCTCGTACGGCGCCCGACACTCTCTGGTACAGGAACTAATTTATGTTGATAATGGTTTATATTTTTTATTTCTATCATGCCTAAGGAGTATGTTCTTAGCTGGGATTTTTATTATGTTTAATATTTGTTCACACTTAAGTAGGATAAAGTTTTCTCGTTGTAGTTGTTATAATTTTTATACATAAATATTCATGTATCTTACATCTAAAGAATCCTATTTATTTTTTGAATGAATAAACATTTTACGGTATCAGATATGTATTGTCTCTGTACATAATATCATCAATCTCCCAAATTAACATAAAAGTTCAATCCACATGCATAGAAAAAGTCCATATCTTAAAAATAATGTCCCTATCACCTTACAAGACCAATAGAATTTTTTTTATATGCCAATAAGTGACAAAATTGATGACTCTGATTTTTTTTTTTTATTTCTAACAGGCTCATATTTTAAGGTATCCAAGAGATAAATGTAGAGTTAATGCCAACCCAAATTTTATAATTTTGGAATTCATAAAACACTTAAAGGATCTATCACCTTGTTTATTTGATGAGATGGAAATATTAAATTTCCACCATTTGCTTCAGAGGATAATTAGGAAGGAGTAAAATTTATTTTTAGCGCCCCACTAGAAATTTTCCCTTTTCAATTGTACATTTTATTTTCTTAAAAAAAACAAAATTTATGAAATTTAAAAATAAAAATACTAATTGGTTGCATTTAAAGAGATTAATGGAATAAAAAGTTTAAGTTTTGGGATTACGTTTAATTTTTTAATTAGTAAGAACATATTTCATTATTTATTATTTTACCCTCTCTTGACTCATCCAAATAAAGAAATTAATTTTTTTCTCCATTTTTTTCCTTATTTCTATCCATCCAAACAACTATTTCTCTATTTCAGTTTTAATCCAAAAACAAGCATCAATGATGTCCTAGCTTAGGTAGAAAAAGTATATGTAAATCCTATGGCATTAGAGACTTTTATGTTTTCACGGTTCAATGAGTCTCCATTTCTTCTTCAAAGCGTCTCTCCAAGGAGGAAGCCTCTCCCCCATCGTTTTTTTCCCTCTCCTTGATCATATTTTTTTTAATTCCCCTCTTCCCATTTTATGGAAAAGGTTAAAATTAAATTCTCCTTTCTTTGGCATCATGACGATTTTGGTGGTGAGGAGAAGGGGATAGAAGTGAATAAACTATCTTTCCTATTTCAATGTAGTATTGCTTGGTGAGCTAAAAAGTTAGTGACCTTATCCCATCCTTCCCATTAGTTTATAAATGATCTGTTTGGTGGGAGAGCTGGGTTAGGTAAGAGTAGGATAGAATGTTTTTTCTTACCCACTTAGTCAATAATAATCTTTTGGGTTACCTCTGTTGTGTACATACTATGATGATGTAATTACCAATTAAGTATCATCTACTTGAAGGAAAATATGTAATTGATGTAGTCTTGGATGTTGATGTTCATTTGTAAATTGTTAAAGTTTTTTCCCTTGTATACCATGTATGGTGATCCCGTACACCCAAGATTTTATTGTACTTCTAAGTTTTCTTTTTATTCAAATGCACCTTTAAGAGTGACCATCAACTTGATCTCCAACAGATCAATGACTACTATGAGTTCCCCCTGCAACTAGATCTTGATAGGGACAATGGCAAGTATCTATCTCCGAAAGCAAATAGAAGCATTCGCAACCTTTATACTCTTCACAGGTATTGGTATTTCCACATCTTCAAATTTTAATTGGCTGAAGTTCTGTTCAATGACATATTCCATGTACTTCAGTGTTGGCTTTTTTTTTTAAATTTTCTTTTTATGGTTAATGTCTGTTTTGGTCCTTTGGGAAACTAAGGCAGTAAGGCTACACTTGTCTGAATGGTGGAAAACTGCAAGGTGCAGAATTTGGAATAAAAATCACTTCAATTTAATTGGTATGGTAAAAATGTGGGAAGCTTCAAAGTGAAGTGCAACTTTTTTACACTGAACGCTGTTTGAATTTTAGTCACTCCTATACCGTGAAAGTGAAAAATAGAATCACTATGGGTGAATTTGAAAGAACTTATTGACAGGGCTTTTCTCATGACATAACAATTGTGCAAGTCCAGGGCAACTTATGAAAATAGTAGATGATGTTCAAAAAACTTATGAAAACAACTTATACAATAACATTTTAACTCCATTTTCTCCTCAATTATGAAAACAAGTTTTACAACTGCATTATGATAATAATTTATTCAGTAAGAACTTAATTAAGACATTTACTCAAACACACCCTAAATCCCATATCTTTGCACTGACCTTATTTGCCATATGGACATAATAAATCAAGTGATTAGGAATTAGCCATGTAGCACAGTGGTGACTTATGGTTGAAAATACTTAACAGTCTGCATTTAGCAACAATTCCACTTTAAGAGTCTTAGAGAAGATGGGAAATTTGAATTAAAGGACACTGTGCTACATCTGTAGACTGAGGTTTTCTCAATTATTGTTTTTTTTAGAATCCATTGTAAGCTATCACTGTTCACAAGAAGTCTTTAATGTAGTAAAATATTATATACTGTAGCTGTACAGTTATCGTTATATATTTGTAATTGGCATCGCTTTTCTGTATTTCTTTGATCTTGTAATTGTATTAAATAAATTGGTTGGTGATTGTTGGGTCCACAACATAATGAGTTAAAAGGTTAAGTATGTTTTGATGCTGCTTGATCCAACTGAAACTGTCTTAATTTTGAGGTAAGAAGCTGTATAGGGTTTACAATTTTGACTTGTTAATGGTTATACATTTGGCTGGCCATGTTAAGTCAAGTTACTTGTAGACTAACAAGATTGTATTATTACAATCTTATGCACCTTAAATTTTAGAATATTTAGTTATTTTCCTCTGGAATCTATTTATAGTATTTTGAGGTTAACTGCTGGCTATATATGTGATGGATGCACTCACTCATTAATATGGTAAGAAAATGGAATTCATTGTGAGAGCAGAGTGTACCTCTATACACGGTAAGATGGTCATGGACTAATTGAAATTCATTTGTCTATCTTTTGAAGATAAAAATTGGATTATATTTGTCAACATGTGGTACAATGGTGATTTGCTTTGTGCTAAATACATGGTCTTTACAAGGAGATTTATCTCAAGGATTATAGCTTCTTTTAATTTTTTTTGTTCTCTTCATTTTGTATGTATACATCTTTTTTGTTATGCATGACTATTTGTCCTCAGCTCTTTCCAACTTTTTCTGTTCATCTTAATGAGTTATTTTTTTTATGACGAAAATCGATAGGACAATTTAATTATGGATTTAGAATTGGATTGATGGCACTGCCCTATATCTTTATTAACTGTGATTTTTCATTTATTTAATCATATACTTATGGGTCTTGTCTGCATCATCATTTTTGTTTTCAGTGTTTTGGTTCACAGTGGTGGGGTTCATGGAGGACACTATTATGCTTATATTAGGCCAACTCTATCAGATCAGTGGTGAGTAATTGAGTTCTTTTTGGTTTGAGACAATATACTTTTATATTTTATGTTTTAACTAATAAGCACAAAAGTGTTACCTTTTCACTAGCTTCACCGATTCAGTATTTCAGGATTCGTGTGCGAACGAAAGGAGGCTTTTTTCCTAGTTTCTTTTTGTGTTTTAGAGCTATTAATGGATGATCCTGAAGATGATTTGTTGGGTCCTTAAGAATTGCTAACTTTTTTTAGTTTTCCTTTGTCCATTGTATATTAGTATTGCTTTGTACCATGTTTAATGAAAAGTTCATATCACACTAGGTATAACTAGCATGAGAGTTTAAGCCCTTATATTGTCATGCTTAACATTTTGTGCTGGTTTTCATTGAGCTAAATGGTTGGTATATATATGTTTGTGTTGTGATACCTGTAGGCATGGTAGTCATTCCCTTTCTTCTTTGTTCATTATTTCTTACTGATTTCTTATTTAAAAGCGTACATAACTTGCTTGTTTCAGGTTTAAATTTGATGATGAACGGGTAACAAAAGAAGATTCAAAGAGGGCAATAGAAGAACAGTATGGTGGTGAAGAAGAGGTAAAACTTAATACTATTGCCTTGATCACTTTATCATCTATTCTTGGATCCTGATTGTCATTTTTCTTTTAACATTGTCGTCACATTTCTTTTTTGTTATTTTTCTTCTTTTCTATAGTTACCTCATATCAACCCTGGGTTCAACAACTCTCCCTTCAAATTTACAAAGTACTCAAATGCATATATGCTTGTTTATATTCGTGACAGTGACAAGGATAAGATAATTTGTAACGTGGATGAGAAGGACATTGCCCAACACCTAAGAGTAAGATGTTTGACTCATTGATGTCATATTACTTATGTTATATTTCTCTGATGCAAAATTTTTTCACTTTTAAATTATATTTTAGGCTAGATTAAAGAAAGAACAAGAAGAAAAAGAGAAGAAGAGGAAGGAAAAGGCAGAGGCTCATTTATACACCGTCATAAAGGTTACAAATCTAGCTTTCCCTCCCATCTAAGTTTAGTTTTATCTTTATATGCTTTCTCTGATATGCATGGGTTCTAAGAACTGGTTCAATGATACTATTTATTGGATCCAGATTGCACGTGAGGAAGATATGTGTACACAGATTGGAAAGGACATATTCTTTGATCTAGTTGATCATGATAAAGTATGGAGTTTTCGCATTAAAAAACAAATGCCATTTATGTTGGTTAAGGTATGAACTATTATTTTATCATTTTATTTGCACATAAAAATTATTCATGTTTGGCCTTCAATGCTCCATCTATTTCATTTTTGCAAGATTTTTTTCCTTTCAAATTTTTTTCAATTGGAAAATGTTTCATCTTTCCGTTATGAGTTATATGAATAAATTTATAAGATATAAACTACTGAAGTGGAAAATCATTTCTTCATTCAAGTTTCTCAGTGTTTGGCTATGGAAGTATGAAATTTCTTCTTCCTTTTATGTCGTTTTCTTCATTTTTCTTGCTGAGCTTTTCGGTAGGGTTTCTCTTATGCCTGTTGTATATTTATTTTTTGAGGATGTGTTTCTTTTAGATCATTGGTGTCTTTTAGTCTCGGTGATGGCTACCTTACCAGAGACCTATTGTGGCAGTTGGTTGACCGCATACAAATGGGGTTTTCTGTGCCCCCAATGTTTGCTTGAACATAAGATTTAGTTTTTGGTTTATCATTTGGGTTTTTCCCATGAAGTGATTGCCATTCTCTGTTATGTATTGTCTTGTATAGGTATTTGGCGGCCCTTTGCATTCTTTCCTATTGCCTTCATCATCTGCTTTTTTTTTTTGGAGTTTTTGTACTCTAATAAAATACCTAATCCTTGTCCGTTTACTTTCCTTGTCGTGTCTTTATTAAATTTCTGAATCATCTTTAACCTTCCAAATACAACAAAAGCACTGAAACACAGCTGCAGTGAAAACAACCAAAAAGCACTCGCCCAGATAAAAACCTAATCAGCTCCAATTGAATCCTGTCACCCAGCCACCATCAGTTGAAGTTAAGTATGAGTAAGGACTCAGTCGAACCACCCACTACTCCATGTCACCCTGGCAAAGATGATTGAATTAAGGTTGGAGTTAGGTGGGAAAATGAGGTCCAATAGGATTTCCATTTGAAGCTGAATGAGTGAAAAGCTTATCTTAGGTGTTTTTCAATAATTCATTACTGCTTAAATAGTCATTTTTGTTTTACAGGCTGTGTACTTATATTTACTGATCTGTAATTCATTTGATATCTGCTGAAACAGAACTTAATTCTTGAATTTCTTCTTATATTTCTGACAATGAAGTCTTTATCAGGAAGAAGTTGCTAGAGAGTTTCATATACCTGTCCCATTTCAACGATTTTGGCTATGGGCAAGGCGGCAAAATTATACATACCGGCTAAATAGACCATTGACGTCTAGTGAGGAAACTGGGTTGGTGAGTTCTTCACCCAAATTCCAATGCCGTGTCCCTAAAATGTATACTTATGTCTGTCTATATTATGTTATATTACATTATACCTTAACCTTAACCATGTGTTTTTATTTTTAAATTTTTTATTTCTTGATCCTACTAAATATTCGCTGAACATCACAGGCTGCCCTGTCTAATCATAATACTGTTTTCCTGCCGGCACTCATTACAAGTCCACTGTTCATAAACACAAAAACGAAGAGAAAAATATTCTGGATGTTCCCTTATTTTCATATGTTCCCAAGTATATATATTTATGGAGGCAGATTTTGAATTACAGTGTCATATTTGCTCTGCCTGGCAGATTAGTAGTCCTCCCTTTGAATTTTGACAATATCAATTTGCAAAAAAAAAAATATTTGAACTAAGAAATGTATACTACTGCTGCTTTAGGCAAATATTGATTGCTTACTTTTTTGTTACACGCTAACCTAAAATAAAACTAAAATAGGTGGGATGGAGAATAGGAGTGAAGTTTCATTGTTTGAACTGCTAACTCGAGAATATGATTTTTTTTCTGATCATTTATAGGTTGGAGAGTTGACAGAAGTTTCCATTAATGGAAATAATGCAGAGCTGACATTATTTTTGGAATTTGGAATAAATCCGGTACTGTTGTTTCTTTTAGATTTTACCTTAGTTCTCGATTGTCTGGTAGTGACTTTTAATTGACATGGATTTGTTATTTATTTTCTGCATAATGAATTAGGGTTTTGGGTTTTGTCCTCCTCCCGTGAAGACAAAAGAAGATTTGTTGCTATTCTTTAAAGTTTATGATCCCTCTCAGGAAAAGCTGCGGTACTTGCTCTTGCTATTACATTTTAGAGTGAGGCTACATTTAGTTACTCTAATGCCTTTTCTTGTTTTCTCAGGTATGTTGGGAGTCTTTATGTCAAAGGTAGTGGGAAGCCATTGGATATATTGTCTACACTAAAACGAATGGCAGGATTTGCTGTTGATGAAGAAATTGAACTATTTGAGGTTAGCTGATCTGCATCTCATGTATCATTATTTCTCGTGATTGCAATCCAAAGGAAGAGTAAGTATGTTTTCTTTCTTTTGCCCTCATCCAGGAAATTAAATTTGAACCTCGTGTCATGTGTGAACATGTTGACAGGAATAAGACTTATCGTGACAATCAGGTATACATTATGTGATTAACTGTAGATTTTTTACTCGAGTGAATTTTAAGTATATGCCTTGGTGGTTTATTACAAACAATCATCTCCATCCTAAATTGTATTGTATTGGGGCACCTACTTTATTGCAACTTCTGCTTCCATCTGTTTTTGGCAGCTTGAGGATGGTGATATTATTTGCTACCAGAAATTCCCCAAAGCTGGAAGTGGGGAGCAGCTTTGCTGTCCCAACAACGTTTATTCATTCTTAGAATATGTGCATAACCGACAGGTTTGAAATTTTAAATAAAAATTATAACTTTTTTATAAATTCTGAAATTTTGAATCCTCAATTTAAATATTGTCTTCTAACTGCAAAAATTATGCTTGATAAGTATAATGCTGCGAACTTCATCCATTTTTCAAGTTTGCACAGATAGCTTGAAAATTCACCTCTTGTCAAGTTTTTTGTATTGAATCTGCTGATCTAAAAAGTAATAAACACAACATTGAAACATTGGACGGGTATTTGAAGGCCGGGTATTGATAAAACTAAGCGCATATATTTCTTCTGATTTTAGAATTGAATAGAAAATCTTAAAATTGAATGGAAAGTGGGTGAAGACTTGCTGGGACTGAGTTTTTATTAGATTTCCATCTTAGTTAGGGTACAATAGTATATAACTCAGCACTGCCAGTCTGGCAGTCAGTTAACCATAGCTACCTGTTAGGATTAGGCTAAACAATGCCATCTGACAGCATTTACTCCAATACTCAACATACTTGATTCTGAGAATAAAAGTATTGTAGTCTGGCTGCATCCTTGCCTTGATGACATAAGTTTATTTCATATAAAAAATTTTAAGCCAATTTTGTAAAACTAAGCAACATTCAAGGAGGTAAAAGATATAGAGGAAGCAAGGAAAAATCTATGGTATACATGTCTGCCATCTTCCACTTTTCCCTTCCTCTTCCATCCTTGCATATCTTGTTCAAAGCTCTGTGTTGTTGTAGTTATTAGTTCCATTTGGGCCCAAAACCTGTTACCAGAAATAATGGGGTTTTTTCTCTTGGGCTTGTTATGTGCAGCCTCTTAGGTTTGTAGCCCTTAAATTAGTGAAATGCTATGCAGGAATCAAGCTCCCCCTATTATTATTATTATTTAGTATTAGCCAAAGCGTATGTACCATTACTATTTTAGTAACTTTGTTTAAAAGGGAAAATTTGCCAGTAATTTGAAACAAAAAATAGGAAACTTTTTTTTCCTTGAAAACTAGAATGTGGCTGAATGCATTTGCACTGTTTGGATAAACTTTTCAACAAACACATGTAGGAAAAGAAAATTAGAAGGTAAAATGATTGAACTTTTCCCATAAATAAAACCTTGAAAAATTTGTCGCATTTAACTTCTTTAAAAATGTTGATTTTAGCTTATGATGCATAAATTAAATTTAACTCATGATTGAAGCTTGATTCTATTGTAGATATTTTAATAGTGTGGCATATTAGTTAGATAGTTAGTGAGATGTTAACTTTTGTAGTAGTACTATAAATAGGCATGATGTTGTATTGTGATACATATATACATAAGAAATAAAATTTCCCTTTACTTCTCTGTTTTTTTTTTTTTTTTTTGAGTTTGACTTGTATTTAATCCTTCTCCGAGATATATTTAAGTCATTACAGGTTATGGGGAAAACATAGCAAACAAAAAAAATACAATATATACTAACAGATGAATAGAAAATGCAGAACTATAATTACAATGCAAAAATAAGGAAAATAATGATAACAATTAATAATAATAGCAAGTTTAGAAATTTAAATAACAATAAGTTCAGAGAAATATCCAACGTAGTTGAACAGCCTTTCTTATAGATGTTGAGGGGTTTCAGTTTTATAGAGAAGGAGTATTGAGAAGAAAAGGATAAGAAACGAGAAAGAAGAAAAAAACAGCAAGAACCTTGTAGTTTGGGCCAGGGGTTGTGCTGTGAGAAGGGGGATAGGTGGTGGTCCGGCAGTGGGTGATGGTGATGGAAAAGGCCGTAGGCTGGAGCAGAATAAGTTGCATACGGTAGAGGAATAGGTTGCATTCAGTAGCAGTGTCACTGGTGGTTGACTGCACTGGCTACTGTAGCTGAACTGGTTTGCTTTTTGGTCTATGGTGGTTCACGAAGGTTAGCTTAGTTCTTTTTTCTCTTAATTTTGGGTTGGGTTTGGGTTTTTTTTCCTAACATTGTCATAACTTGTCTCACCCTCATAATATAACAAAAGGCCAATGTGTTCCTATCATAACACTTCATAATCAATTCAAAACTATATTCTGGAATATGTAATCTGAGTTTTGGGTTATGCAATCTATAATTATCCAAAATATATTCATGTAATCTGGAATTACATAATCCTATTTTGGTTGACACAACCTGGAATATGGTTCCGGTTTACCAAATTTGAAACCATATTCTTAATCCAGAACGTAATCTGAATGTTCCAGAGTTACATAGTCTGAAGTATAGTCCAGATATATTATTACAAGTGTATAGTAATCCTTTTTTGTAGTATGAGGGTGGGAGAAAAAACTATGGAGATCTCAGAAGAAATACCCCCAACTTGTTTTCGTTTTTAAATCTATTGTGTTGGTCAGGTCACAGGTCCCACAATAGTTTCAAAAAGAGGATTTTGCCTCAGGTCTAGGTTAGATTGCTCCAACCAATACTTCTTCCTTTCTAAAGAGGCGCGGGCCTGCAATGTGGGACTGGGGCATAATTTTCCCCAGGACTTCTCAACAGCATCTTTCTGCAATCTCCAAAGCAGCCACAATGGAAAGCCATGGAAATTCTGCATTGCTAGCACCATGTTATGGCGGCTGGTGATAAATCCACCACTGATGTTAGAAAGTATAATTTTGAAAGCTTGCATTCCTCATAATTCAATACTTTCTTTGACAGACTCTGGTTAATGAGTTCTTTATAGAATTTTGCCACATGGTGGTATTTGAATTATACACTATCATATATTGGCGTATTTTGGGGATCTTTGATAATTGTTCAGAACAGATTGGTTGACTTTGTTGTCCTATGTAATCTTGATATTGACCGGGTGATCTTTTGTTGCAGATGGTTAGATTATTTCTGCTGCATATTTAAGTGAATTTGAAAGATACTTGTGTATATGATTTCTTAAAAAAAATATTGAAAAAATGGAGGAATAATATTGCAAAAATAATATTGGGTTTTGGATACTAGTTTTCTGTGGTGTATTGTTTCAATTCCTTTTCAATACACAATATTCATTGATTTTTCAGGTTGTCCGCTTCCGATTTTTGGAGAAACCCAAAGTGGATGAATTCAGTCTTGAGCTGTAAGTTTCATTTGTACATACACGTAATTTTGTATATTAATTAATATGTTGAGTTTCATGTCCTAGTTAAAAAAAATTGTTTGCACGAATTACCATGCAACCTTGATTTGATTGTGCCCTTTTTCCCTGATCAAGTTTTGTTGGTGGACCTTTCTTGCAATTAAATTATATTTGATGATACGTATACATTCTGTGATCATCTAGGTCAAAGCTTCACACATACGATGATGTTGTTATGAAGGTTGCTCAACATCTTGGCTTGAGTGATTCTTCTAAAATCAGACTTACGTCTCACAACTGCTACTCCCAACAACCTAAAGCACAGCCTATAAAGTATCAAGGAGTTGAAAATTTGTCTGACATGCTGATTCACCTCAATCAGGTATTATTGCAAGTCCAAATCATTCTAGATAAAAATAATTTAAAATCCTTGCAATTTGCAAGACTTCCAAATGGCTGTCTATTTTACTTGTGCTCCTGGTATCATGAATTATTTTCTTTTGTTTTTGTTTTTTTTTTGTAGATTTCTGATATACTGTACTATGAAATATTGGATATCCCTCTGCCAGAATTGCAATGCATAAAAACTCTTAAAATTGCTTTCCATGTTGCTAAGAAAGATGAAGTGAGTATTTTTAGGGGTTTTATTCTCCTTTTTCAATATACTGTGTTATATTAAGATTTATACATCTAATGAGAGTTATAATTTCTCAGGTGGTCCTTTCTACTGTTAGATTACCAAAACAGAGTACAGTGGAAGATGTACTGAATGATATTAAGTCAAAGGTAAACAATATAATTAAAGTTGATATATTATCGTGTAAGCTGCTTTTTTTTACTGTGACTTAAAGATATATTATGCCCCGTTCAACTATTTTGATTTCATAATGAGTGTGAAGGTTGTCAAACTTAATAGTTAACTAAAACTCAATTTGTAGATTCAAGTTGTAAACTCATAAGAGTTTACTTAATTTAAAAAATATTAAAAATTCTATTACTGACATATGTGTAGCATACTATTCTTAATACAACAGTATTCAACCTAATGAGCATTGAGTTTGATTGACTTATGTTGAGTTTGATCTAAATGCTCAAATTACCCAACTGTAAGTATTTAAATTGGTTGGGTCGATTTGAATTCTTGGTGTTCATACTTCTGAACATCTCCAATGTAGGCGACAAAAATCTTGGTAACAAGTTGGATACTTAAGGGAACAACAAGTTGACATTTGGGGTCAAGAATCAAAAGTGGGATGGTCTAGTGATTAGGAGAAAAGGTTGAGACGGACATGTACTGATGCACTGGATTGTACAATTTTTGAAGAAGATCTTTATTTCGAGGGGGAGACAATCTTTTCGGTTGCAGGGAAGAGGAGCAAACACATTTTCGTTTGGGTAATCATGCACAGTAGGTTTAGCCTAATCAACCCTAAAAAACTGGTATGTATGATTGTTCCCACCTATATGTTGTATTTTGGTATTATCTCTAGTGATGTTTGACTTTCCAATACACCTCTCACATCCAGTTGGCTTGATACATGGATAACATGGTAAGTGACCCTTTTAAGGGATCTATGATAGACTCTAATACCATCTTTCAAAGTGGGATTAATCTAACTCAACCTTAGAAAATTGGCTTGAAGACTAAGAGGAAGTCATCCATGTGTATGGTGAAGTGGTGGAATAAAGATGGAAGGAACACCCAGCAACCATGGAGGTTTGGGTTTCATGCAAGATTGTCAACCCACAACCGCAATAATCAGTTTATCAAATATAATTCTTGTTGGGGAGGAATGAACTTATCGTTTGAGAAAGAATTTGACTCTTGAGATTGAGGACAATTCTGGTCTATGTATAATAGGTATGGTTCTGATGGAAAATAAGAACATTCAAATTCTCAGAATCTAATTTGAAAATAATTTACTGAATTCCTAAGTTAGACAATATCTTTGATACACCTTGTATACTTGATACACCTTGTTTACTGAACTAAGATAGCCTTATTGTCTTTGTGATGAGAGACTGTTTGATAGTGCGAGAAGGGTGTTTCCTTTATCTAATAAAATGCTGTCATTGTCCTTTAGATTAGTTCATATTGTTGTTATTGACTGGATTTAACTATCCTCTTGTCTATTTGAAGCATTCGTTTGAAGTATTTGTCGACCTCTTGTATTTTATGCTACATGAAATGTAATGGAATTAATATTATGTTGACAAATAGGTGGATTTATCTCATCCTGATGCACAACTAAGATTGCTTGAAGTTTTCTATCACAAGATATACAAGGTGCTGAATCATACACTTTTGTTTTCTTTGTTCAAATGCTAGTCTTACAAGCATGATTTCCTTAAGTTGACTAATTTTATTGGCGTTCAATGCGATGAGGGGAAAAATCAATTGATCTGTATCACTCATTTGCACTAATGCAATATAGCCTTATTGTTGACAGTTGTTATCAAAATTTGTATAATACTATTATCCTATTAATTACTGGCTTGTCACTCATTTTGTTTTGAAATTAGATTTCACATTACTGATATTTCTCAATATTTATGTGAATGAAGTTTGACTGAAATATCCATTTCGAAGCAATTTATATGCAGGATAAGGAAAATTTATTGGCATATAATTTGTTTTGTTTTTTGGGTGTAAAAACTAATAATTTTGTTTGACATTTGTTAAGTGCTGCTTTATTTATGAAGAAGTTTCAAACTGGATAGCTGTAAAACTAATAAACCTTTTGCAGATTTTCTCGCCGAGTGAGACAATTGAGAATATTAGTGATGAATATTGGAAGTTAAGAGCAGAGGAGGTAAAGATTTGTTACCTTTATTATATTTATTTTTATAATTAGTATTCAAATACAACATCTCGATTGGGGAGATACTATTTTGGATGCGATAGACATTGTTTTAGTTCTTGTCATCCTTCACTTGTTTGAAGAGAATGTGTTGATATTGAAAAATGTGTAGACAATAGACATGTGACATGTATTTGTAAACAAAAAGATTGGGATGTCGCATGATTGTCATGTTTGAGTATGTCATGGTCCTTTTCCTTGAATATCTACGGCCTTTTGGATTTTCCCATGAAAAACCCTCCTGGCCATATCTCTTTAATATTGAAATAATAAAGTTTAAAAACGATTTTAGTCTCTCAAATTTGGGTCATTTTGTCCCTCAAATTAAAAATTGTCTCTCTAGTCCCTGCAGTTCAGAATTTGTCTTTTAGCCCCTCTTTGGAGACATTGTTAGAGACATGATATATGGTAGTTTTTGAATTTGCAATTAGTGATGGTTTTTAACCACTGTAATTTAGTTTTCTAATTTAATCATGAAATACGATATACGGCAGTTGTTAAAGCTCGAAATAAATTAAAGAAAAAAGAAAAATAGAAGCATGGGCACGTATCCTTCTTATTTAGTCCAAAAATCCTCAGTGTGATCATTTGTCGGTCCAATTAAACTGACTGCCAGGTGAAGGCAAGTAATTGAAAGAATTCTGATCAGAGCGATCCTGGAATTCCCTACAACCCAAGGGAGATGGATAAAATTTACCTCTATATTGATGACAGCCAAGCACAACAGTAAAATCACCTATAAAGGACCATGGAGCTGAAATCTGAGAGATTAGAGAGAACTTGCCACAAATCTCTTCTAGCTAAATAGCTGCTGACACACAAATATCCTATAAGACATGCTTAAAAGAAAGAGAAACTTGTTGTGTAGAAGAACTAAGGACGGCTGAATTAATATCTTTACCACTGTAACACCCATGAGATGGAAGATCTTTTTGTTTTGTACAAAGAACTTAAGATGTAAGGATTCCCAAAACTGAAGAGTGATATGAATCTTTATAAGAGGTTCAGCCACAAGATGAAAATCTGGTTTATGAAGAAGACAGATTATTAACTATCCTCTTTGCTCTAGGTTGAGCCAGACCTTTTATGTTTCATAATAGGTATTTCATCATAAGATAACAAAAAATCAGTCTAAAAGGATTTCATTGTTCTAACTATCAGAGTCCATTTTGGACTAAGTTCTTGGACCAAGACTGGCGTCTCTTTGCCCAGATAATAACACCAGTGGTGGTTTTGAAACAGAAATGCAACAGCCTTTCTAATATTTATTTCAGGAATTTTAAGAGTTATCTTTTCTTCATCATTTTGAATTTCTTATTTTACATTATAAAAAAAATTAGCTGTGATTTGTGTCAAGATAGATTTACCTTACGAGCGTTTTAAGAAATTAAAAAATTTTATCCTTACTTTAGATTTCATTGATGTTTAAGCTTTTGCAGTTCCATTAATTCTATTTTCAAAACTCCACAGAGTTCAGTTTTCATTTTGTAATAGTCCACAAAGTATAGTAGTCGTGCCGCTGTCACAATCCTGCCTTGTTAGTTTGTTATCAGCCACACTGCACAACTATGCAGGAATGACTGTAAATTTGTAATTATGTCCTTTTGTTATTGTAGCATGCTGTGAATTTTTTAGTGCATGATTCCTCTTCATTTTGGTTTCTTGTTACGAATATAATATTCTTTTGTAATATTGAAGATTCCTGAAGAAGAGAGAATTCTTGGTCCTCTTGATCTGTTGATTCATGTTTATCATTTCTTTGAAGACACTTCTCATAAGTATTTGGTAAGATCAAATATCTGGTATTATTATAATTTCTCACTTCTTTTTCCGTCCAAATATAATTTTTTCCTGTAATTGAATCATATTTCTGCTTTGATACATTTTTTTTACAAACACTTTTTTCTCGATTCTGTGTGGGTGGATTGAAACATGTAGAATTTGCAGAAAATTCAGAATTTTGGGGATCCTTTTCTATTTGTTATCCGTGGGGGTGAGACATTAGCTGATGTCAAATTGCGGATACAGAAAAAGCTTCAAGTTCCAGATGCGGAGTTTTCAAGCGTATGTATGAATGTGTTATTTTATTTTTGGCATTTTAAAGCTTGGTCAACTTTTTTGGGACATTAACGAATATGTACAAAGTTCGATTTGTTTTTCTGCTTGTAGTTAAACTACCGTCCTGCTTCCATTACTTCTCTGCATGTAGAGTTGACAAGGTTTTATTTCATGATTGATGTATTTGTTCCCATGTTGTTTGTCTTTCCAGTGGAAGTTTGCATTTGTGTTACATGGTCGTCCTGAATACCTACAAGATTCTGATATTGTCTGTGCTCGGTTTCAGGTCTGTCAATATTCTCTTATGTGATTTTTCATTTTGGTTGTGAATGTACGAGTTTGAGGCTGTCAATGGAATTTGTTTAGGCATATTGTTTGATTTCTACATGATTAAGTTAATACAAATTTGAATTGTTTGTTTGTTTAGAGAAGGGATATTTTTGGTTCTTGGGAGCAATATCTTGGTCTGGAACACACTGTCAATGCTCCAAAAAGGTCTTACGCAGTTAACCAGGTAAATGTTGGGGAGTGGCTTCTTTCTGTCTTTTGGGAGATTCCCCAATGTAGCTGTGTGGATGGTATATGCACTAAGTCTTAAAAAGAAACCAAAATGTGGATCTAGCATGCAGTCATTCAAAATTTAGGGTAGTTAAAATAATAAAATATTTACAATTTATATACAAAAAGAAAAAGTTATTACTTCTATGCATGGTTATTTGAGTATATTCTGTTACCTCTATCCTCTAAGAAAATATACAACATAGAAATAGACTTATTTGAGAATAGTTCAGTTAGTTAAACTGTGAGAGCAATCTAGAAAATATAATAGAGAAAAGCGCACGGAAGAAGGCAAGCTATATGTTCTAAAATTACTTTTTCAGTCTCACCCTTAAACTCTAACATGACTATATAACTTTTACACTTTAGTATTGGACATACTTGCTGGGCAAATTGGAGAGACATACCTCAAGCTCATCTTTTTAGAGGAGCTAATTCTCAAATTAAGTAGATAGGAAGTTTAGAATCATACGGTTTCACCAATATAGATGTACCCAAGGTATATGCAATGTAAGATCGAGCAAGGTGAAACTAAGGATCACATTAAATCACATGTTCCATGGTTTAGTTATCTTGGATCCGTTTGCGAAGTGACGGGGATATTAATAAGAATGTTAAACAAGATGCAAGGTGGGTGAATGAAATTGTGTAATAAATAGTTCATTATGAACATGAGGGAAAGTTAAACCAATCTTGTGACTTGACACATATGCCAATGATTGAAACTTTTAATAGGATTAAGCTAGTTGCCATTGCAAACTTGTTATTATGGCGGTATCTTTAGGTGTTTTGTGAAAAATACTTAAAAGAAATGATAGTTTGATACACATAAATTTTTTATATTTATATGATACTACTCTTTTTTATTTTTTATTTTCTTTATTTTTGAAGAATTATAAAAATTCACTATTTTATAATCATTTTGTCGTTGTTACGTGTGTCATGATAGTACTCAATACTGAAAGACAGAATTACATATCTTCTAAAATAAACAATATAAGATAATGTTAATCTTTAATACAGAGACGAGTATTTAGTTCCTATAGCTCCATGATATATCTTTTCTCTCACTAAAACATTCATAGATGAATTTTATTTTACATTTATATCTACAACTTTTGATAATACAATTGGAAAGAAAAGAAATTATCGCATTTGCACTGGATATCCAAATGCAACACCGGCTGCATACAAGTCACTGAAAATAATTTTATGTGCAGGTTCCAGCTGTCTACAACGATCATTTCTCAAATATCCAGAACCGTCACGCAATTGAGAAGCCTGTAAAAATCTACAACTAATCAATCTATGAATCAGTATATAACACCTTATGGCAGTGACACTTACAGTTTTATGAAGTGATGACAGAAGTGTAGATTCAATCTTTGTCAATTTGTAGCTTCATCATTACTTAGGGGGATAGGTGTATAGCTTGATCTGTCTTTCCTGGTAGTTAAAACTCAATAACTCCTCGTCTCTTTGGTTTTAATTCCTTTGTAAATAATAAATAATAAGATTTTGGGTTGGATTTTTGTCTTTGAATTATAGCTATACTTAATTTCTGGGCCTTCTATTACATTACAGGCTTGTTACTGTATACAACTACACTTTAAACTGATATGTTTAAACTCACCTGCAACATTTTTCAACAAACTAACTTACACCCCTTGATGAATAGTTTAATTTATTTTCACCCAAAACCTTTCTAAGAAAAGATAAAGTATTAACTCTTAATGCAATTTTTTTAAGATAAAAGAGTAGTTTTAACATAATTTATGACAGGTAAGTTTTCCATGTTTTCTATCAGAATTCTATTCAACATACACTATAATAACCTTTCACGAAACAAGTTTATTT